CAAATATCATGCACCATGCAATTCACGTGCTGATTGCTACGTTTTGGTGATCATCTTCCCTCCGAAAACATTACACATTTAACATCAGATCCCCAAGGAATACCTACCATTAAAACCAGAGTCGGGCGTTTTAAATGTTGTGATGTATCAAACGTATTAATATGGGGGTGCAACACTTTTTTTACTGTGTATACTACGGTACCTCGGGTGGATCGTCAACCTTCAAAAGTCGGACTTGGTACCAACTCGGGATCTACAGTACATCGGGATACGCTTCCAGACGGGAGTCAATCTGGTCAAGGTACCTCAAGACCGTTGGGACATGATTGTCAGCAGCGTTCCGAGACTTCTACATGCCCCGGCGTCGGTGCACACGTGGCAGGAAGTCCTCGGTCTGTTGACATCGGCTCAAGACCTGATTTGCCAAGTCGTCTTTAATTTCGTCCGCTTCAGAGATTGCTGTACCCCCACCTGGAGTTTCCCAACCTCCTGGTTCCACTTCCAGCGCAGCTACGTTGTCATCTGGAGTGGTGGCTCCAGCCGTCGAACGTTTGCGACGGCGTCTTTATGAGCGAGCCTCCGTTCATACTACACCTATTCGTAGACGCGTCATTGGAAGGCTGGAGAGCGCATTTCGGGGACGACCAAGCGGCCGGGCTGTGGTCGCCAGAAGAAAAGGTCCTCCACATCAACTGCCGAGATGGAAGCAGTGATTCGGGCGGTCGTGTTCTGGAAACTTCGACTCCGTCGGAAACGGCTGATGATACAGTCGGACAACTCCACAGTCGTCCACTGCATCAACAAACAGGGAACGACTCGGTCGGTGGCCCTTCTGGGACCGCCTCCGTGGCCTAGTGGTAGAGCGTCTGCCCGGAGAGCGGAAGGTCCGGGCTTCGATCCCCGGCCGCGCCATACCAAAAGACGTTAACAGAGGGTACTTGTTGTTACCCTGTCTGGCGCTCGGCATTAAGGGGCTAAAACAAGGACTGGTCGGCTCGGACAACTAGCCGACGCCCTGTCGAGACCATCGAGGCCGTCTCCCATGGAGTGGATGATCTATCCGACAGTCTTTTCATCTGCTGACAGATCGACTGGTTGCCCAAAGTAGATCTCTTCGCAACCCGGTACAAAAACCGCCTTCCTCGATTCGTGTCGCCGGTTCCAGACCCACGGGCATGGGACCACGACGCTCTAGCGATATCGTGGGAGGGTCTAGACGCTTACGCGTTTCCGCCAACGGTGCTGTTACCATCGATACTGGAGACGGTTCGTCAAACGGCCAAGCTACGTCTGCTTTGGTCGCGACTTATTGGCCGGCCGCTGTTCCCGTTGCCAGATCGAGACGACCTCCTTCTTCATCCTCACAACGATCATTCCGGTCATCTCGGCGTCTGAAAGGGTCGACGATCTTGACTTATCTGGCATCTTTGGCTACAGTGGTGACGTCTCCTACGGGCGACAGGCTTACTAAAATACTTGAGTTGCAGAAAATTCTACGTGCCTTCATGGTTGAAGATCGGTCACATTAATTCCGACTGCCGGCCTGGGACCTCGATATCGTTCTGCGCAACCTGTCTAGTTAGACTTACGAGCCTCTCGATCAGGTCTCGTTCGACATTGTCTCAGAAAACGGTTTCCCTTCTCTCGCTGGCAAGAGTATTGAAACTACATGCCAATGACGTCGATCGGATTACGTTCGATCAGCGTAACCATGGCCACGTCCATCTTGGTCTCAGATGGGATTTTTTAAAGCGAAAAATCAACTTCCTGGCCAAGATTCGAGATGTTCCACATTCCTTCCTTGTCTGCCATTATGGGCCCTCATGATCACGCTGATCTCACCCTGCGCCCAGTTCGTGCGCTTCGTATTTACCTGCAGTGATCTGAACAGCAACGACAACATTTTCGACGTCTGTTCATACCGCTCTCAACCAATGAAAGGAAAGAGATTACACGTAATACTCTCTCCTTTTGGTTGAAAGCGGTCATTCTCAGAGCTTACGAGGCGCAAGGACTCGCACCTCCCACCTCCTCTCATCTGCACGAAGTTCGAGCCAAAGCTTCAACATGCGCACACAGTTTGGTCCACTCGTAGTGGCACAACAGATCTCCCAGAAAAGACAGTGAATTTGTGCTTTATTCACTTTGGACTTTTTGCTCGACACTTTGTGCCAGATAACAGGTTACAATAAAAACTGTTGGTGAATGTACGCATTCTTATGTTTTTTGTTGCATGCAGTACTTCGGCTGTTTTATTATGGTTATTCGGTGTATGCATCGTCTTCCCATACTTTATAGTACTGCTCGTATTTTTTAGTTACCTTGTATACTGGGAGTTGCTCTGTAACTACATTATGCACCGACCACACTTCGATCGCAATTCAACTGACGTGTGCAGTTGTCCTGTCGCATCGATAATTAGTTGTGGGTCGAAGAGCATTAAACATGCTGTTTTAGTTAACTTGTATACTGCGAGTTGCTCTGTAACTAAACTATACGTCGACCACACTTCGATCGCAGTTCAACTGACGCGTGCAGTTGTCCTGTCGCATCGATAATTAGTTGTGTGTCGAAGAGCATTAACCATGCTGTGCGTTCGTGATAAACAACTTGTCTCGTCCGTGCATCTGGTCGAATGTTCTATTGTCACTACAGGGGCGAGGAACTTGGTACATTCGACGTGAACGAGGTCACTTCCTGATTACTTCCCCGACCCTCCTTCCAGTGTTCCGTCGAATTCTACCCATTTGTACGACTGAAAACAGACTAAAACATGGGTTTTTCAGATTAAAAACGATGTTTTATTGGTCTGTTTTCAGTCGTACGTTCCCACCCAGCCATCCCCACAGGGAAGTAATCCAGTCCAGTCCTGCTTGATGGCTTTTTCTTCGAGATTTGTGATATGTCATAGGGAGGTGCGTGCGCAACCGGACGGAAACAAGTTTAATGTTTACATTCCAGCTTCTGGCTTCCTTTTAACGTGCGACTAGAGGTATGAGAGATACCCATTTGTACGACTGAAAACAGACCAATAAAACATCGTTTTTAATCTGAAAAACCCATTTTTTTACGAATTTTTATTTTTTACAATTTTTATGGAAAGAAGTTGGACCTAGACTCCATTGGGGGACGGGTTCGTTTCCGGGCCAGAATTCGAAAACCATTCAGTGGGTAAACAATGTATGCTTCTTAAAGAACATTCAACTCTTGACTCATTACATACAGAATTGCACATTTACTCGTGGTTACTTTACAGACAGCTGCCGGGGGGATACGTCATCCTTCTGATGACTATTGTTTTCATATTTTTGTCAATGATATGTTGAATTCTACCAAAGGACTGCATATTTGGTTTTTGTGCTGGATAGCTCTTTGAAATGTTTTTGAAATATTTATCACTGATATCGAAGGTCAAATTCACACTCAAAAGTGAAGTGTTGAAGTGTAAGATCAAGGCAATAGTGAAGGGGTCATTCATAAAGTATTTCTGCAATTATGTCTAAAATGCCTATTTCTGGAGATATTTGTGAAGTATTAAGCACATAGTTGTTATATTATTTGAATACACATATATGAGCAGTGGTTACAACTCCAGTGTCAAATTAACTCTCAATCCCTTTAAATAAAAGAATTCACAGTAACTGAGGAAGAGCTCACTGTAGTACCATAAATCTAGGGTGAGGCAAATTTCAATGAAGTTAGCATTTTGGATATAACAAGTACATGTACCGTTACAAATAGACTTATTATCATCTTACTAGGACCAAAGGCCCAAGTGAGCACATTGTCAATGACTTTTTCTTTTTCTCAGTACAAACTGGAATTCTGGACATGAAATTTAAGGATATCATTATACGAGAACTAATGTTTGTTCATTAAATACCATTAACATCTGAAAAGAACAATATATGAAATTGAACAATTGTCTTCTCCAAAAATGTTTTAGGAGGATATTTACCATTAAAGCAACACAGAATATTACAACAGCTATCTGTAATGCACAGGCTAACATTATTTACCAGAAACAAGACATGAAGAAAATTTGCATCTGGATACCTTCCGGAAACCTTCCAGAAACCTTCCAGATGCCTTCAGCAACCCTCAAATGTCTTGGTATTTTCAAGATAATTTTTTATCTGTTTCACACTTAAGTGAACAAAATGCACCCCCCAAATTTTGACATTTTTTGGGAAGGTTTCCGGAAGGTATCCGGACCGGATCCAAAATGGGAAGGTATCCGGAAGGTTTCCGGAAGATGGAAACCTACATTTTTTTGCTGTGAGTGAGGTAGCACTTTAAATCGGCATCAGTCCGGACTAGTACAAGCAGCCACACACACACACACACGTGCACGAACGTCGCTATATAAGACCAATAATCTTGGGCGCGACGTTAAACCCAATCTCACCTCACCTCACCCAACGTTACCATGCTATCTGGGATCATACCTCGCGGTAAAACGTCATTCAATAACTCACGGAATACTTCACTAAGAACTTAAGTGGGAAATTGTATTGACAACTCATTAAACACGATCAAGGCTTGCCAATTTCAAGCATTCTCGTCATCTCTAAAAAAAGCAAAGTCTGTATATATTGGCACACCGAAGTGAATTTTTATCAAAATTGGAGACTTTGAGTTCAGATAAAGAAGTGGGTACTACAATATTACTAGTCTGGACAATAATTTCATTGTTATATGTAAAATAGATAGAATGGGTTTCCAGCAGCCCATGCTTGCCGTAAAACTCGACTATGCTTGTCGTAAAAGGCGACTATTGTGTGGTCAGGCTCGCTGACTTGGTTGATGCATGTCATCGTATCCCAACTGCTTGAATCGATGCTCAAGATGTGAATCACTGGATTGTCTGGTCCAGATTCGATTATTGACAGACCGCCTTCATACAGCTGGAATATTGCAGAGTGCGACGTTAAACAACAAAAAAAAAAATGTTGTATATCATTTTTAACTACTTTTTGTACAATATCATCATTTTTCAGATTAGAAACAACGGTATAGAGACATGAAGAAATTACAGGTAAAGCAATGTGTGTGATACATGTGATTAAATCAGTTCAGTTGCAACATTGAAGGCCTTTGAAAGGCTTTCAAAATGTTTTATGGTAGACATGTGGAGGACGTTTCTAAATTTGACGCATCAGTGACAATAATGATGTCCGATGAAATTCCCTTTTCGGACTTTTACTACATGTTTCAGTGTTTTGCAGGTAAACAATTGACCCGTCTTTGCATGTGTTTGTTACGGGTGCTACCGGTGGTGCAGGATACGCTCAACTTTTCGCGAACACCTGGTATCATCACTATTTGATAGTGATTCATAAACACATGCTCATGATATAGTTGGAATCGTACAATGGATTTCTTTTGAATACGGAAAGGGTTTTGTCGCTTTTATTTAGAGTTGCGTGCCTTAAGCGAGCCGAAAGTATATCCGAGATTCGCCCTGATTGTTTCTAAGTTTGTTTGCACTATAGTGGCTTTCCATCCACACCTAGCTGACAAGCCAACATTGAAATACTCTCAAAGTAAACTCTTTTACTCACGCGGTAATCACAGGCATAGGGCTATAGGAATTTAAGAACGTATAGAAGTGTGGCCAAATAAACCGAAATGCAAAGGATAATCTGTCAGAGGATTTGTATCATGGGTTTTAATCCTAAATTAAACGCAATTATGAATCTTGGTTTGTCTCGGCAGCCACTTGTGCCACTGAAAATGTACATGTCTACTACATGTGTCAGTTTGGACTTTCTCCCTATATTAATCTTTACTGACTGAAGTACATGTATGTGATAACGCAGCAGTGATGAAGTAATTCGTGTCTACTTTCAGAAGTCCGTACAAAAGAAGGAAGAGGAGAAACTCCACTTGAATAGCAAAAACTTCCTGCGTCCACCTTTGAAACAAATAGATGCTAGCATCACTGAGATTAAACACCACTTTGAGCAAAAAGGTAGTTTTGTTACGATTATTGATTTTACATTATTTATTATGCTAGAGTCCATTTTATCTTCCAGTGAACATTTAACCTCAGAAAATGTTTAAAATGTTGGTCTTCTATCAACATAACATGTAAAGGTAGGGCTCACAAGGAGTCATAAAAGCTGAAGTTTTCAGGTATAATATTTACATTTGCACAATATTGAGCAATTTCTGTCATTCACCTTCGCTATATTTCTGTACTTGATATTGTCATAAGTATAGCACTTGCAACCGATAGAAATAAGAAGGCAACTTATCTGTCACATGGTCTGGTCAGATAGCATGCACAGCAATAGGTAAAAGTTTTCCATAACCTTAAAATGGGACAGCCCCAGTTTGCAAAATAGCAGCCTGATGGTAGTTAGTAGATGCTTCAGAAACCAAATAAAACAAGAACATGGAGACTTTGCATGGACGATTCAACAAATGGTGTTTTTCACTTCATTTCGAAACGCCTCCATCAAAATTCTATTTTGTGTAGCTATTTAATATAATTCCGGTCTCGCTGCTTTCATTTCTTGTAGAAGTCTTTCCCGAAATGTTCTGTTATTTCAGGTTCGGTAACCAAAGTTCCATCCCGGTTAGCTGATGTTTGGCGGAATATTGGGGATGAAGTGCATTCCCTACTGAAGAAGGACGGATTTTTGTTTCATAAAAGCATTCTTAATGGCTTCACTACGTGTGGAGAACTTACCGCCTTTGTGCATTTGTCAGAATCATTAGCATTAACTTTAGACTTCCCAGTTCTACCACGAGAGAATGAGGTGAAGTGTGATTTGCTCCTAATTACGCCTCACCAACCCATCATGGTGCTGACACTACTGGACTGTGACAATAAAACGAGGATTGCTATTAATTACAACACCGCTGTGGCCAGAGAAGTGACAACAAAACTACGTAGATTCACAAATGAAAATGTCAACGTTGTACATGGAGTTCTGTGTAAGACTGGTCTGATAAATAATGATATGTGGTACATAAAGTTAAGGGAACTTGCTGCCTTATCTGCATCCCTTGTTCCTGAATCTTCCCTAATGATGACTCCATCAAAATATGAACACGTGATGGTGGCCTTCTGGGCAGCCGTTGCTGAGACAAAGTCAGTCCTGACAGAGACAGGTGAAGTCGATGACAGTTGTATCTATTTTCTAACTAAAGATCAGTGTGTATATCTTGTGGAGAACATAGACAGTAAATATGTCCAATTGAGGTATGGCCCTGGTACCGGAGCAACTACTTTGATGCTTGAGGTGGCGAGGAGACTAAGTCGATTGGGCGACACTCTACTGGTGTGTAGCTCCCACGAAGAAAGGGACAGACTCAGGTATAATAAGTGAGTGAGTGAGTATGGTTTTACGCCACTTTTAGCAATATTCCAGCAATTTCACGGCGCGGGACACCAGAAATGGGCTTCACACACTGTACCCATGTCGGGAATCAAACCCGGGTTTTCGGCGTGACGAGCGAACGCTTTAACCACTAGGCTACCCGACCTCAGGTATAATAAAGTGGGTTTAAACTTTCTGTTTACTTTTAGTAACCCATGGACTGGAGAAAATATTGAAGACTAACATGGAAACTAAAGAAGAGAATATATGGATGTCAACTTCTTTATTATGAGGAACACAACGTTTCGGAGTATATGCTTCCTCCTTAATCATGCAAGACTACATATATAATAACCTGATGAAGGAGTAAGCATATACCAAAAGTTGTGTTACTCACAATATTCTCTTCCTCATGTGTATCACTTCTAAATTCCTTTCAAAGACATGTAAATTATTTTTTTAAATTTCTAAATCATAAATCATCTTAACAATGATGGCAACTGTGCTTAAACTATACTATGAGAAAATGTTGCATGCCCAACACATAGAGGATATATATTGTATACTTATTACACAATCGTTTCAGATCTGTATACCCGTCAACAATATCATTGGATGATTTGTCGGAATGGGATATTTCAGTCTTTGAACACGTAGTTCATAAAACTAACAGTCTGCCATTTAAACTAAGTGGTCGACAATGGAGCTTTCAAGAAGGTAATAGTGTATCCTATAACAACGTTAAATGTGTTTTTTTGACACATTGAGGCACATGTGGCCTTGTTGTCCAAGGCGCCGCAATTTGTTGTGCAATGCTGCGTTCCTTCGGTGTTCCGGTGAGGAGAGGTGAAATGGGGTTTAACATCGCGTCCAAGATTATTGCACTTATATAGCGACGTGCGTGTACGTGTGTGTGTTTGTGTGGCTGCTTGTACTAGTCCTGACTGATGCCGATTCATAGTGCTAGCTCACTGAGATACCATGCCACAGTTTAACATGAATACCCTACTCAGACACAGTATACTGACTCCGAGCCAACCAGTCTTTGTTTTAGCCCCTTTATGCCGAGCGCCAGACAGGGTAACAACAAGTAGTATCTTTTAACGTCTTTTGGTATGATGCGGCCGTTGATCGAACCCTGGACCTTCCGCTCTCCGGGCGGACGCTCTACCACTAGACCACGGAGACGGTCCCTCAGGTGTTCGGGAAACCTATGATCCGTTCATCCCGATTATGTTTCTAGGTTTGCCAGCATCATACCAGTGCTCATGTGTATCACCAAATTAGTAATCACTTTGGGCCTTCTTCCAACAACACGCTAACACGCCGTGATATAACTGAAATACTGTTAAAAGCGGTGTTAAAACCCAACTCACTCACTCTGATAGACTGTCATGGTCATGATCATCATCTCCGTGACTTTTACACGTTAGTGAAATCAATAAAAAAGTTTTATGAATTCCATCCTTAAATAGTTTGTGAGGGTCACAGTTATATATCGAAATCGCAAAAGAAACGTCACCATGGATAGATATATGAGAAACCTTATTTGTCCAAACACTGTTAACATACTTTGAGACATATTAAATAGATGAAACTTGGCAAAACTGATAATCAAGATTGAAATTAAAGTCAAATGTTCTTAAAGTGAAACACAACACTAGTCTCTGAGAAAATGGCATCACAAGTCAGTATCTCGTGTGTCAGCCATGTGCATTGATGACTGCCGTGTAACGTTGGGTGGACTGGTGTGACATTGGATGAAGGAAGGGGGATGGGGGTGGAGCTACACGTGCCACTGTAGGACTGAAGGCTCGACTGACGTTGATTCCGTGTGGCGGGTGGTGAGTTTACTAACTCACCGTCTTTTGTAACATGGCACATCGAAATGTTGGCGCGATCAGTATCAAGTTGTAGTGTATGACCTAAAATTATGGAATGAATATTTTCAGAGTCGTTATTGAAATCTTTGTCTACTAGATCGCGAAAGGTTCAGCGGCTATTTCATATATATTTAGATCACAGCAGGTAGACATTTCGATGGGAAAGAATCCTTTGGTACTGACGTTAAACGAGTTATTACAAATTTTATATATGGATAATATATAATATGGACATGCAGAATTTGTTATAAATCAAGCCATACAAGAACATATCACTCGTTTCACTTACTCTAATCATCACCAAAGAGGAGACGGTGAATATCACATGTAAACAGACACAACGTGTCAGACTGCTGATGTTTCTAGGTTCATACCAATCGCCATCAAGCAGAACGTTTGGTTGTTATATAGAGTTTCGACGAATTTAAATTTGTCCCTTCCTACCATAAGAATATAGTGTAGTAATCAGTTGATTCCATGCAAGATACGGACCGCCTCCGTGGGCAAGTGGTAGACACGGAGAGCGGAAGGTCCGGCATTCGATCCCCGGCCGCGTCATACCAAAAGACGTTAAAAGATGTTGCCCTGTCTGGCTTTTGGCATTAAGGGGCTAAACCAAGGACTCGTCGGCTCGGAATCAGTATACTGTGTCTGAGTGGGGTATTCATGTTAAACTGCGGCGTGGTATCTCAGTGAGCTAGCACTATAAATCGGCATCAGTCCGGACTAGTACAAGCAGCCACACAGACACACACACGTACATGCACGTCGCTATATAAGTGCGATAATCTTGGACGCGATGTTAAACCCCATTTCACCTCACCATGCAAGATACATGATTTCAATCACCGAAGACATTTTTTATACATACACTTTACATGTATATTATTGCTGTCACCTCATGTTATATATCAGTGACTATGCTACATGAGATACGAAATTAATATTACATTTTTTCTATCATATTTTGCATGTGTGAACATTAGTAGTTTCAATATTGCTGTTATATCCTGTCTTAATAATATATAAGTTTCAAGAGACAGAGTTATTGTTTCAACAAGGAAGATGTACACGGATAACATTTTGAATGTTAAACAAACGTATTAAAATTAACATAACAAATGAGTTACAAGGTCAAACACCATGAAACTATGTTAACATCAGGTGCTCAGTACAGCAGCGATCTAAGAGTTTATCTTGATAGTGACGCAATAGTTATCTCTATGATTCTTGACTAGGACTGTGTTGAGGTGGCAGTGAGTATTTCTGCTAGTTTGGTATTTTTTTACTTCATTGCTGTACGATTGTGAGGAGTGTGTGCATTAAGGACATACTTACAAGACACAAGATACGACCCTGGTGAGACCACTCCCCCCACAATATGGACAGGAGAACCACAGACTGAAATACACATATATATACATCCCATGAAGGAAGCGTGTGCTTTCTTGGATCAAATCTTAGAGCGAAAAACAGATCCAATTAACCAATGTACATATTTGCTGTATTTTGCTGCAACGTGTCCGGTACTTCATCTTTCAAGGGCAACATATTTAAAGTTGTCTTACTAAATTTGTTTGTTTGTTTGTTGTTTAACGCCGCACTCAGCAATATTCCAGCTATATGACGGCGGTCTGTAAGTAATCGAGTCTGGACCAGACAATCAAGTGACTGATAACATGAAAGACATTGAATAGCCAAGTGAATGAGTGAGTGAGTATGGTTTTACGCCGCTTTTAGCAATATTCCAGCAATATCACGGCGGAGGACAACAGAAATGCTTCACACATTGTACCCATGTCGGGAATCGAACCCGGGTCTTAGACGTGACGAGCGAACGCTTTAACCATTAGGCTACCCGATCGCCCCTTAATATCCAAGACGAAAAAGATCTGCATGACATGATTTAACATGTCTTTGTCGAGGTAGTTACCTTTAGTCTGCAGTGATATCATATTCGTCTTGACCCCTGAGATCATATGAAGAAAAGGAAGAAAATGCTGTACCAGTACCTATATATCGATTGAAGATGTTGGTTATTATAAACTCGTTTGCTTGTTTTCTAAATCATTCGTGTAATCAGATTAACATTTTGCAACTAATGTTATTTATAAATATACTGTACCGCAAAAGAAACGTCACATGGATAGATATATGAGAAACCTTATTTGTCCGAACACTGTAAACATACTTTAAGACATAATAAAAAGAAGAAACTTGCAAATGAAACTTGATTGAAATTAAAGTGTCAAATGTTCTTAAAGTGAAACACAACACTTATATCTGAGAAAATGGCATCACAAGTCAGTATCTCGTGTGTCCGCCATGTGCATTGATGACTGCCGTGCAACGTCGATACATGCAATGGATGAGGCGGTTGATGAAGGCCATAGGCACTTGAACCCACACTCTTAGGAACGCCTGACACAGCTGCAGTTGTCGGCCTTGGTCGGACGTCATTCAGCCGTCTTTGAATCTCGTCCCACAGGTGCTCAATTGGATTTAAATCGGACTGAGGGCAGGCCATTGCATGGTTCTGATGCCATTCTGCTGGAGGAAGTCTCTTGTTGCTCTCGCAGTGTGGGCACGGGCGTTATCATGCTGAAACTCGTAGTTGCGACGACGTGCCAAATGAGGTATGGCGTGTGGTTTCAAGACTTGATCAATGGACCTAGCTGCTGTGACGCCTTGGCCTCTCCCTGGACAGATGTTCTGGAAGACCACAGGGCCGACCCCCTGTGCAAGACCAATTCCACCCCACACCATGATGCTCGGACCACCCCACGAGTCTCTCTCAACAACACAAGCATCCGAATAACGTTCGCCAGACTCTTTCTCTCTCTCTGCCATCTGCTGTCGAGATACAATGACGGTTCTCGTCTGAGAAGAGGACTCTTCTCCACTGCTGGTGGCGCCACTGAAGACGGTCCCGGCGATGACGTGGTGTCCTCGGTGTAGGCTGTCACAGTGGAGGTGTCTGCTTGTCAATCGTCGACGCACGGTGTCCGCACTAATGTGTCGCTGGTGTGTCCCCATGGTCTGTCGAGCAGTTTCCGCAGCAGTAACAAAGCGATCTTGAAGATGCTGTCGCACAATCTGTCGATCCTGACGTCGAGTGGTGACTACGTTGTCGGTCATCTGTAGTGTTGGTGGTCTTTACCGTTGCTGGGAACGGCGGAACGCATGTGCATTTCAATTTGCAGGGAACTCAGGTGCATCGGGTTACCATGGCCGTTGCCCTGATGAGTTTGGGCGATCAGTTTTATTGTCATCTGCTTTGTTTTTTCATCATCAAATTTCATTTTTCCGGACAAGGTAATGTTAAATTTTAGAAACTTTGACAAAAATTACCCCGATATTTAAATGACAACTTTTTCATGCAATTTTACTTGGGGTGACGTTTCTTTTGCGGTTCAGTATATATCCTCTGATGGGTGTCGACCTCTTCTGATGTTGACAGTACTATTAATTAACGCCCTGGCAACTTATTAAGAGACGGTTTGTTTCCAGATCCACAACAGATGTCTAAAGATTCAGCAACCCCAAGCGTACGTCATTCGTTTTAAACCTTAGCATACATATCATCAAGTAGGATCATACCAAACTTTTGGCCTATACCAGGGTGTCGTTGAACAAAGCGATCGTAGGGCTAAGGTGGTCGTAACTCACACACCGTGGCATAGACTAAAGACATCGTAGTGCTAAGGTTGTTTGTACAACGGCACCCTGGCCAAGAAGATCTTATATTTCCTATATGTAATCGCTTCCGTTCTCTAATACCTACTCAGTATGTACTCACATAAGAACAAGTGCAAATTTCTCTGTGTTTTGACTTGACTTCCATGATTATGTTTACTATTTCAGGCGCTGAAACCGTCAATGAATGAGGAAGGCTTCTATTATGACAGTAAAGACTTTCTCCGCCCACGTTTTAAACAGACAGAAACAATGATTGACGACATTAAGCGCCATTACATTCTCAAAGGTATGTTAGGTTTGGTACTTGAGACCACACAACTCTGCAGGTATGGTGATTCTTGAAGAAAGATAATTTCTTCTCCATATTTCTGAAAGGAAAAACTAATCTCTTACCTATAAAAAGTAATCTAAAATATATCTCAGGAATAATACCGTAATACATTCATTATCACCTGTATCATCTTAAATTGATAGGGGGTGGTGGGGTAGTCTTGTGGTTTAAGCGTTCGCTTGTCACACCGAAGACCCGGGTTTGACACCCCACACGGGTACAATATGTGAAGCCCATTTCTGGTGTCCCCCGCTGGAATATTTCTAAAAGTGGCGTAAAACCATACTCACTTATATCTTTTACGATGCAGCACGTGTATGAACACACAATGGAATTTAGAAAGCGATCAAATGTAACACATGTTATATTTGGGATAACACTTTCTAAGTAAAGTACAGATTCCCCTACTTTTTTGGGTTGAGTCCCATCCCACATGTAGCATGTTGTATTTTAATATTTTCAAAACATGAAATTATAAACTGACTTTAGAAACGCTTTCTCTTACCAATTTTGTTCCTGCGATCGTAAGTTATAAAACGTCAATCATTACCGGGGTCGATTTGTGATGAAGTCATCTTCTGGTACCAGACACAAATTTGTTTGCACATGTGTGTCTAATGCTTAATGATTGTGTATGTTGTTCTCCAAGAATGCATGTGCCTCCATCGCTTGCATCTGTTATCAGTTATCCTACCTAAATGTTACATTAACAGGAGATGTCAACATTGTCCCTACAAAACTTCCTACCAATCTTATTGACATTAAAGACAAACTGTTTTCGATGTTGGAGACAAACGGACCATTGTATAGTCAGGCTCTTGTGAATGGAGAAGCTGTGGACGCAAATTGTGACACAACGTGTTTTGTGCATTTGTCAGAGTCGTTAGCAGTGTCATTAGACTTCCCTGTGTTACAGAGACCAGGTCAAATCATGTGTGACATATTTCTAGCAATGCCCCAGCAGCCACTCATGGTATTGACAGTAGTTCGTCGCTTCAGTGATACAATAGAGGACATACGAATATATAACACTTCAGTTGCAAGGGGAGTCACTGCAAACTTACGTCGGTTCACACATGATGGTATTAACGTAGTGCATGGAATCATCTGGACCAGTGATTTGAAAGACCAGGGTGTGTTTTTTGCAAAGTTGCAGAAAATGGCAAAAAGATGTTCATCATTTGTTCCCTACTCTTCGTTAGTGATGAATGCTTCCAAATACGAACATGTGATGATGGCGTTTTGGGCAGCTGTTGCTGAGACGATGACTGGATGTGATGGTGAAGATGCGAATTATCTGACTTTTCTAAAAAAAGAACAGTGTATTGTTCTCTTGGAGAATATGAACAGTAACAACGTGGAGGTGATATGCGAGTGTGATGAAGATGCCAGGACTTTGATGCTTGCAGTGGCAAGAAGACTAAACAGACTTGGTGACACCCTACTAATGTGTAGATCCAAGGAAGTGAGGGCCAGACTCAGGTACATCAAGATTAAAAACAATAGCCAGACCAGGGCCCACTTGCACAAAGCGATCTTAACACTAAGATGATCGTAACTCCCATACTTTAACATAGGCTTACGATAGTCTTAGCACTAAGATCGCTTTGTGCAAGCTGGTTGGTTGGTTTGTTGTTTAACGCCGCACTGAGCAATATTCCAGCTATATGACGGCGGTCTGTCACGCAAAGTGGGCCCAGTACTGTTAACGTATCGTGAAATAGTCCATGTGATTTTAATGGTTTGTCTCTTTCATGAATTCATACTTTAAAAAACATAAAACTTTTTTAATATTTCAGATCAGAGCACAACTCCACAATGTCGATACATGACGTGTGGTGTGCGGATCTATCAAGATTTGAGAATATTGTCTATGATGCGCACGTCTTACCGTTTGAACCTCGTGGTCGACGGTGGCTTTTCAAAACGGGTATGTTCACATGAATTATCTTTAATAGTGTTTGTTTGTTTGTTGTTTAACGCCGCACTCAGCAACATTCCAGCCATATGACGGTGATCTGTATATAATCGAGTCTGGACCAGACTATCCAGTGATTGACATCATGAGCATTGTTCCATAGTGGTCCTTGCATCAGTGCTTGTTTGTTTGTTGTTTGACGCCACATGACAGCCAGTAGTTGCAACAGTCAGGAGAAGCATTCATTGCTCAAGTACCAATTTCGCTTAGACCTCTTCCGTTGTATCACAGGCATATATCTTAAAAAATAGGTTATTGTCACATGTAGATATTTTGAAATGATACTCGTTCAAAATATGTGAAATTAAGGTGTGGAGCTTAACTGGGCAAAACAAATACAATACTTCAAATTGCTAACTTTGCTACATTAGCAATGTATGCTCCTAAACCTTAAACGGAAAAGTGTCTGTTAGCAGGTGTGATCATACGATCATCATATCATATTAAGAAAGCTCGTGAAGCCATATGATTGTCATGGCATAACTATCTAGTAAATCTTTTATTAGAGGAGCGACTATGCTTGTCGTAAGTGGCAACTACCGGGATCGGGTGGTCAGGCTAGCTGATTTTGCTGATGCATGTCATCGTATCCTAATTGCGTGGATCGATGCTCATGATGTCAATCACTGGATTGTCTGGTCCAGACTCGATTATTTACGGACCGCCGACATATAGCTTGAATATTGCTGAATGCGACGTTAAACAACAAACAAACAATAGGGTAAACAAATAATATTATAATAATCAGTGCATAGTAAGGACAATAATAGTGTGAGATGGTTTCGATTCGAATAATTAATAAATGCAGTTGGCACTATCAAAACATGTTTCTGGTGAGATTCTATAGATGTGTGTGAGATGAATAACGAACATGGTTTAATATCATATGAACACGCATTTGAGATGAGGGCGTGTAATCATAATTATATATATTATATTTACACAGTTTCTGGTAGCGCCAAAGAAATGAAAGTCAGATTAGAGACAGCGGAAAAGGTATTTATTCCAAGATACTACTCTCTACATTTCGATCATGGGTACATGACGCATTGCAGCGCGAACCTCGCCATTTGATTATGTAAACATAATGTTGACGTGGTATTGATCGACCTGATGTGATCATTGGTATCCATAATATCGACCGGTTGACCGGTATTATCCCAGGTGAACACCGTGATCCGGGGATCGGCACTGGTCACGTGGCTATTCGATGAGGTCTGAGCCCAATTTCTGTTGTACCTTACATGCAAACAAATGTTCTTATTTCTCATTCCTTACAAAGCTTGTTAAGCATGGCCGTGCATTAGGAAATTAAAATGGTTACTAATTTAAAGACCATGCGTTTTAATTTAAACGTATGAACAATCAACATATTTTTACATTAGTTGACATGAAATTAATATGTTATGAAACTGGACTTGTCGTGCCATTGATGAGATATGGAATTGTGACGAGTTTACAAATATAATACATTCCAGGAGGTGCACGAGATGGAGAGACAGATTACCAGTTTGAGGAATGGTATGTCCTTACTTTGAAAGGCATTTAGAAGTGATACACATAAGGAAGAGAATTTATTGATGTCAACTTCTTTACTATGAGGAACATAACGTTTCGGAGTATATGCTTACTCCTTCATCACCTGAGTAAGTATAGTCTCCGAAACGTTGTGTTCCTCACAATAAAGAAGTTGACATCCATAAATTCTCTTCCTTTGGCATGTCCTCTGTAAACACAAGCGGGAGACACTCGAGTTTTTACGCTAAGTATTCTTGATCTCATGAAAACAAAGCTTTCGGTGCATCTTTTTTTAATTACGTCTTCTCCATCAGACAAGAGTTGAGATGTTTTCGAAGTAGGTATATTATTGTCATGTAAATAAACACAATGCCTCCGGTGATTAAAAAGAAACATCTTAATTGAGACAACTTGTCCAGATGTCACCCATGCGTGGTCCCCAAACCCTGTTGATTGAATTTGCAAATTCGTGAATAATAATAAGGCATTGACATGATAATGTTATTTGACCATTCCATATCTCGAAAATATCGAATTATATGTTTACACGCCGTCTTCTACGTGGACATTCAATCTTTGTTAGTAGTATGCTCAACCGCCAGTATTACTTTTCAGATGAATGGAAGGGGCAGATGGAATATATCTTTGGGGAAGCTGATGTTCTGAAGTTGTTTCCACTGTTATACACATTCTACACAGTAAGGCACTGGGATATTGATTGAATGATGTAAAGATCAAATGAGACATAAACGTTTTCAAAGCCAATTCTATGGAATCAAAACCTGATTAAATGTTCTTTATGAGACAATCCATTTTCCTTAAAAATATGAGACACTTTTTGGTTCATTACTGTTGCTCTTTAAAATGTAAATTTAACAATGCCAGTAAAGCACATTGTTCAACACTTTGGTCGGGTTTTTTTCAGACAAACTTCCTGATGACCAGCCTGAATGGTGGATCATCGACAAAAGAATCCATGCTACGTCAGTATACATGGTCGAGGGAAGATTTGTGTTTTTCTGATTGTTAATTACCATGCAATTGCTGACATAACCCGTGAAGATCCGGGTGAGAATAGGTCTTCAGCAACCCATGCTTGCCGTAAAAGGCGACTATCCTTGTCGTAAGAGGCTACTTACGGGATCAGGTGGTCCCAACTGCGTGGGTCAATGCTCATGATGTAAATCACTGGATTGTCTGGTCCAGACTCGATTATTTACAGACCACCGTCATATAGCTGGAATATTGTTGAGTGCGGCGTTAAACAACAAACAAACAATAGGGTAAACAACTTGTATATTATAATAATCAGTGCATAGGTGAGTAAGGAGTGAGTGAGTGAGTGAGTGTGGCGTTAAACAATAAACAACCAGATAACAGCAAGCTAACATAACTTGACGGTTACTGTTAAATGTATGTGTGTAAAACCAGCATAATTCTGGAATTATCAATAGATGCTGATGTTACAGCACATGAACCCCCAAACCAGCCTTTGGGTGGTGACGAACAAACGGAGAAAGAGCTCCAGAAGAGGATGAAACTAAAAAAGGAACTTTTTCATTTTCTCAGAATGGTAAGAGAACAAGAGATATGCGATATTCTACAGTCTGTAAACGACGGAAGGAATTACACATCACATCACACATGCCTACTATTTTGTTCGTGGATACGAATTTTCCCTAGATCGTAATAGTAGCCGAGGCTATCATTTGCATAAGGACATACATGTGAGGGGTCTAGCGATTTTAGGTGATGCAATTAGTAGTGCGGAGTTGCCGTCCTTAGTCGGGCCAGGATCCACTAGATTGGTATGAGTGCCAGATTTACCCTGATTATGATCCGTGGTCTGTCAGCACAATGTGTTCTTTAGCTTTACGTTCCGAGTCCGTTTGTTTTCCCATTTGGTTTAAATAGCGTTCAAAACAGGGCAGACCCCAGCTCACTTACTCATTGTACAACTGACCAGCAACTCATGTGTGGACAGTTCACGGATATTCTGGATATACATCCGAACTTGAAACGTGTCTTCATCTATGTTTCGAAGGACACAATGTATGTTTAGGAATTCAGAAAAAATATCAAGGCATAACTTTGAAAACAAAAATGGTACTAGGAACTACATGAATGCCGCGTAATAATCCTGCTTGACTTGTTGTGAAAGTTGTTTTACGCCTCGATCGACAATACTCCGCATCGAATCTTTTCGAGGGATTTTGCCATAGATGGATTTTGTACAAATTCAAACTGTATTACAGTATATATTAAGATTTGCTGACCGTTAATCTTCTATTTATTTGACATTTAGTCTTCTCTTCATCTGACCTTTAGTCCTCTCTTTATCTGCCCCTTAGTCCTCTCTTCATCTGACCTTTAGACTTCTCTTCATCTTACCTGTAGACTTCTCTTCATCTGACCATTAGTCTTCTCTTCATCTTACCATTAGTCTTCTCTTCATCTGACCTTTAGTCTTCTCTTCATTTGACCTTTAGACTTCTCTTCATCTGACCTTTAGTCTTCTCTTCATTTGACCTTTTGTCTTCTCTTCATTTGACCTTTAGTCTTCTCTTCATCTGACCATTCGACTTCTCTTCATCTGACCATTCGACTTCTCTTTAGCTGACCTTTAGTCTTCTCTTCATTTGATCTTTAGACTTCTCTTCATCTGACCTTTAGTTTTCTTTTATCTAACCTTTAGACTTCTCTTCTTTTGACATTTAATCTTCTCCATATCTGACCATTCGACTTCTCTTCATTTGACCATTCGACTTCTCTTCATCTGACCTTTAGTCTGCCTTCATTTGACTTTTAACCTTCTCTATATCTGACCATTCAACTTCTCTTCATCTGACCTTTAGACTTCTCTTTATCTGCCCTTTAGTCTTCTCTTCATTTGACCTTTAGTCTTCTCTTCATCTGACCATTCGACTTCTCTTCATCTGACCATTCGACTTCTCTTTAGCTGACCTTTAGTCTTCTCTTCATTTGATCTTTAGACTTCTCTTCATCTGACCTTTAGTTTTCTTTTATCTAACCTTTAGACTTCTCTTCATTTGACATTAAATCTTCTCTATATCTGACCATTCGACTTCTCTTCATCAGACCATTCGACTTCTCTTTATCTGACCTTTAGTCTTCTCTTCATTTGACTTTTAATCTTCTCTATATCTGACCATTCGACTTCTCTTCATCTGACCTTTAGTTTTCTTTTATCTAACCTTTAGACTTCTCTTCATTTGACCTTTAAATTTCTCTTCATCTGACCTTTAGTTTTCTTTTATCTAACCTTTAGACTTCTCTTCATCTGACCTTTAGACTTCTCTTTATCTGCCCTTTAGTCTTCTCTTCATTTGACCTTTAGACTTCTCTTTATCTGACCTTTAGACTTCTAATTATCTGCCCTTTAGACTTCTCTTTATCTGCCCTTTAGTCTTCTCTTCATTTGACCTTTAGTCTTCTCTTCATCTGACCATTCGACTTCTCTTCATCTAACCTTTAGACTTCTCTTCATCTGACCTTTAGACTTCTCTTTATCTGCCCTTTAGTCTTCTCTTCATTTGACCTTTAGACTTCTCTTCATCTGACCTTTAGTTTTCTTTTATCTAACCTTTAGACTTCTCTTCATTTGAAGGGGCACGGGTGGCCCAGTCGTCTAAGGCGCCGCGATTCGCTGTGCAGAGTTGCGTCCCTTGGGCACGCCAGAAATCTATGATTGTGGGTTCGAATCCCGGTTCTCCCCGATTATGTTTCTAGGTTTGTCAGCACCATACCCGTGCTCGTGGGTTTCACCGAAGTGGTAAACGTCTCAGACCTGCATCACTTCGGGCTTTCCTCCCACATTAAGCTGACACGCCGCAATATAACTGGAATACTGTTAAAAGCGGCGTTAAACCCAACTCACTCACTCACTCTCTTCATTTGACATTTAATCTTCTCCATATCTGACCATTCGACTTCTCTTCATTTGACCATTCGACTTCTCTTCATCTGACCTTTAGTCTGCCTTCATTTGACTTTTAACCTTCTCTATATCTGACCATTCAACTTCTCTTCATCTGACCATTCGACTTCTCTTTATCTGACCTTTAGTCTTCTCTTTATCTTGCCTTTAGACTTCTCTTTATCTGCCCTTTAGACTTCTCTTTATCTGCCCTTTAGTCTTCTCTTTATTTGCCCTTTAGTCTTCTCTTTATCTGACCTTTAGTCTTCTCTTTATCTTACCTTTAGACTTCTCTTTATCTGACCTTTAGTCTTCTTTTCTTCCAAGTAAGCACTCAACAGTGTTGTTACCTATGATCATTTTTTCCTTGTTTCAGGCTGCTATTGATGTTAGGACAAAGCTGTTGTTTCTACAAGAGACTGCAACCCACTCGAGAACGGGTACGTACAGACACTTTACCAAGTGTGATATTTTGGTGTGTTTTTTGTTTAACGCCACACTCAGTTATATGACAGCTACATGAAGGCGGTTTGTAAAGAATCGAGTCTGGACCAGACAGTCAAGTGATTCACATCATGAGCATCGATCCACGCTTTTGGGATACAATGACATGCATCAACCAAGTCAGCGATCCTGACCACTCGATCCCTTTAGTCCTATAGTCGTTTTTTACGGCAAACATGTGTTGCTGAAGACCGATTCTACCCCGGATCTTCTCGGGTCTTACCAAGTGTTAAATAAGTATGACATGGGACTACCAATTGAAGTAAAAAACAATAATTCTGAAAGTGACGATTTCGTGTTGTATTATAACTATTTGACTTTTTAAAAAATGAAATACTTAACAATTTATTTGCCTTTCAGGTGCTACACTAGAAATGTTTACAACAGATGATACACCAGAACATGTAGGTGTTCCGTTCTTTATGTTTAATTGATAATGTTTCTCGGACATCAGGAAGTGCATTTAAGGCTGCTTTGAACAGTATTTCAGTTATATCACAGCGTGTCAACTTGTTGTTATAGAGACCAGGGATGCCGGTCTTCGACGTTTACAACTGTCGTGAAACCTACACTATGGTTAATGTGTTGACAAACTAGGAAACAAAATCAGAGCGAATGTGGTATTCGAGCCCACGATCATAGGTTTTTTTTATTTGCCTTGCCGTGAAACTCTGCACAGGGACTTGCTGAGACTGAGATGACTGGGCCCCCTTGATGTGGGAGGAAATCCTTAAATGACGCTGGCCTTAGTGGTTTATCACTTTAAAATCCTCTCTGACATTAACGTTTGGGAACTGGCATAGATGTTCGTGTCCCTGTTCGGGTCATATGGTAAAATCTCTATTTTAAAACCATATATGAATTTTAGACCAACCCAATGAAAGTGAATGTTCTGTGATATAATGATACTCTTCCTCTCAGCAGGTGAAAGGTCAGACGAAGCCAAAGAGCGTATTTCGCAAAGTAATCGGTTCCATCAAGAAGAAAGGTAAACTCTTTAGACTCTTCAGATAGTTTGTGTTATCCAAGTTGTATAAGAAGATCTATAAGATCTATCTTATCATCATCAGACTTTCAAGTTTGTTGTTACAGGTAACTGACGTCATGGTCTCCGTTTAGACAGGCCAAGTTTTTATAAGACGGTGACTGGCTGATGAGACAGCAGGATTCTTTAACTAGTAATGATACAGATGTGCATAGGCCGTACATTCCACCCTGACATGAAGACTTTCTTTTAAGGTAGATCATTGCATGCACCAAATGTGTAATTTACCAGTTGACATGCAACAGAAATTGTGGGTTCATTGTAGTACAAGTATTTATGTGGATACAGTTACGTATTGTCCAGTGTCTGGGGATCCGAAAAGGTCAACAGAACCTCAAGCATGTTAAATCTTTGAAAGGCATTTAGAAGTGATACACATAAGGGTTGTCATCTTTTTTATTATGAGGAACACAACGTTTCGGAGTCTTTGCTTGATGAAGGAGTAATCACATACTCCGAAACGTTGTGTTCCTCATAATAAAGAAGTTGACATCCATACATTTTCTTTCTTGCTGTAAAACTCCACTGTTTGGAATCAATTCGACTAGACAGTGCCAGGCCGTCTCGGGTTTTCAGGCCTACTCGGATGATCAGGCCGACTAGAGGGTGCCAGGCCAACTCGAGTGTTCAGGCCATCTGGATGGAGCCAGGCCGACCAGGGTGGTCAGGCCACTGGAGGGAGCCAGGCCGACTTGGGTGATCAGGCCGACCAAAAGGTGCCAGGCCGACTCGGGTGGTCAGGCCATCTGGAGGGAGCCAGGCCGACTCGTATGATCAGGCCATCTGGATGGAGCCAGGCCGACCAGGGTGGTCAGGCCGACCAAAAGGTGCCAGGCCGACTCGGGTGATCAGGCCACTGGAGGGAACCAGGCAGACTTGTGTGATCAGGCCACTGGAGGGAACCAGGCAGACTTGTGTGATCAGGCCGACCAAAAGGTGCCAGGCCGACTCGGGTGGTCAGGCCATCTGGAGGGAACCAGGCAGACTTGTGTGATCAGGCCGACCAAAAGGTGCCAGGCCAACTCGAGTGGTCAGGCCATCCGGATGGAGCCAGGCCGACTGGGAAGATCAGGCCACTGGAGGGAGCCAGACTCGGGTGATCAGGCCATTTGGAGGGAGACAGGCCGACTGGGGTCATCAGGCCAACTACCGGGTGCCAGGCCGACTCGGGTGATCAGGCCATCTGGAGGGAGCCAGGCCGACTAGGGTGATCAGGCCATCTGGAGGGAGACAGGCCGACTGGGGTCATGAGGCCAACTACCGGGTGCCAGGCCGACTCGGAAGATCAGGCCATCTGGAGGGTGCCAGGCCGACTCGGAAGATCAGGCCACTGGAGGGAGACAGGCCAACTACCGGGTGCCAGGCCGAGTAGGGTCGTCAGGCCAACTGGAGGGAGACAGGCCGACTCGGGTGATCAGGCCAACTACCGGGTTCCAGGCCGAGTAGGGTGGTCAGGCCAACTTGAGGGAGACAGGCCGACTCGGGTGGTCAGGCCATGTGTCTGTGCTGATTGCTTGCCATCGTACCTTGTTGCCTTATATGCCTGGTCCGGACACGCTTATGTCCAGGCTGTCGGGATGCTGGCATGTTGCAGTGTAAAAAAAACGTCCACACACGCATTTACTTTCGCCGGACTGAATCATATGTATATCGTAATGTATTACACATGTCTCAATATTGACTTTCAGTCTCAAGAAAAAGAAAGGGGGGAAAGACACAAGAGCAGGTAGGTTTGGGTTTGATCCAACTGATATGTGGCGGTTGTCATGTGACATGCTCTGTATCAATCTGAGACACAACAATTCACATAGAATGAAGAGTTGTCCTTGATTTGGATATCATCATTAAGTGTTGCATATAGTAATTGTGACTAGAAAATTCATCCCTTTGTGTCAAGGATGATGCTCTCGTGTAGAATGTGTCATGTGTCCGTAAAGTAATCCTGTTGTTTAAACGGTCGCTCGTGTTCGATTCCCCTCATGTAATATTTATGCGTCCCCTTTCTGGTGTCCACCGTCAGGAATATTGATTGCTATAAGTGGCGTAAAAACATCTCGCTCAGGCAGTATTAAAAGTAACGAATGGTGTTTGTGTGGACCATTGAAAGTAAGCGTGAAGACGTGATTTGCGTGTGCTTTTAGCCATCACAAGTGTCGTAAGGTTTTCAATATAATATTGCAGATGTAATTATAAAATGGAATCATGTAACACATGTTCATTCTGAAAATGATGTCCAGGGTGAAAGTATACATGCAGTGAAGCTTATTGGCAGAATATTCCCTTATTTACCATTTCATGGCTAAAACAGATTCCCAAAACCTGAGCCACTTATTTTTTTTTAATATGAAATACACAGATGCAGTGGTTCATCGCAACAAACATACGTATGTTATTCCTTGTCAAGAGGCCATGCGACACATTTTGATTTTTCTGCAAACAACAAAAGTATCAGACACAAAAAGATTCGACATTTCAGAATGTGCTTCAAGATGTTCCTCTACTGTCTGAAGGGAACTCAGAAGATGGACGGGACCCACAGAAGACAGCAATGGAGGGACCGCAATCATGTAAGCATGGGGTTTACAGACGCTAAACCATGTATTTTAGAATCACAAATGCCGTGTGACTTGTTGATATTATGTTTACATGGCATCCGTTAGCAACCTCTTTCCTCCCAGATAATGTGTACACGTCATGATATGACTCAAAAACTGTTTAAGGGCTTTAAGACAACGGAATTACATAGATAGGGATTATATACTGATAAATGATGCAAAGTAATAATGTATATATCAAACGTCAACGCCAGAGAATATCAAGTCTTGATTATCCGTCGGAACAGATTTGGACTTGACAGGCAAAACAGTGATGAAAATTATATGAATGGACCACTGAAAACAAGTGGTGACACCAGGTGTTCGCGAAAAGGATAGCCGTGTCCAGGCCTACCGATAGCAGCCTCCAGTCACACTTTTAAACGAAAAGTGGTACGAATGTCAACGTTATACTTAACTTAGTTCTTATAATTTTATTTGTCATAATCTCACATCTATATTATACTCCAGCCTCCGAAGGTGTAACAACAGAACAGGGAGAAGAAAATACAGAAATGGTAATGATAAAAAGGATTGCGTTTTCTCATTATCGTGTTGTGTAACAAATATGGACACCAGTAACAATATGTAAAGTATACCCGCAGCCATTTCACCCCCAGTATCTACTTTGGTAGGGGATTTTGCCTGAACATCAAGGAGAGTTTTTCCCTTATATAGTTTAGTGGTTGCATCCTATTCCATTTAATCGTTTGTAACAAATAGCGGTTTGATAGAGGTGAGGTGAAATGGAGTTTAACGTCGCGTCCAAGATAATTGCTCTTATAAAGCTACGAGCATGTGTTGGTGTCCATCTCAGTGAAATGGCGAATTAACAGTATATGTGTGTGCGTGTGTGTGCGTGTGTGGCTGCTTGCTTGTTTTTTGTTTAACGCCGCACTCAGCAATATTCCAGAATAGCATATGGCGGCGGTCTATAAATAATCGAGTATGGACCAGACAATCCAGAGATTGATACCATGACCATCGATCCACGCAATTGGGATCGATGACATGCATCAACCAAGTCAGCGAGTCTGACCACCCGATCCCGTTAGTCGCCGCTTTCTACCAGTACATTCGCCTTTTACGGCAAGCATGGGTTGCTGAAGACCTCTTCTACCCCTGATCTTCACGGGTCGTGTGGCTGATAGTACTAATGCGGACTGATGCCCATTTATAGTGCTAGCACACTGAGATACCATGCCGCAGTTTAACATGAATACACCACCCAGACACAGTATACTGACTCCGAGCCGACCAGTCCCTGTTTTAGCCCCTTAATGCCGAGCGCCAGACAGGGTAACAACAAGTACCATCTTTTAACTTCCACTCTCCGGGCGGACGCTCTACCACTAGACCACGGAGGCGGTCGACTCTTAGAGAGAATGGGTAGTTGGGCTTCAAATATATCCCATAACAACACGGGGTAATTGAGCATGGTGTCCCTTACAGTGGTAAGCTCATGTGTTCTGACAAAAATGGCATATAATGAAGCGCCATTAGATGTAGATTTGCTTTTTGTCTGTTTGGTGTTTAACGCCTAGCTGCAGCAATATTTTAGTTTTGTGGCAGAGGCCAGTAAGTATTCGAATCAGAACAAAACGATTATGAATAAAGTGCCACACTGTCACCTAGCCTGGCCGTCTTGAAATATTTCGTCGCCTTTTGCGACAAGCATGGATTGCAGGGGACATATTCAAACGTGAAACCCCCACTTGGGCAAAAGGTAGTTTATTGCCTATACCTATGTGATCAATTACCCAGGCTGGTTCCATTACCTGCAGGGGTACAATGTGTGAAGCCCATTTTTTGTGTCCGTGAAGATTTCTGCTGGGAAGATTTCTAAAAGCGGCGTAAAGCCATACTCACTCATTCTTCTGAGGGGGCCACGGGTGGCCAAGTCGTCTAAGGCGCCGCGATTCGCTGTGCAGAGTTGCGTCCCTTGGACACGCCAGAAACCTACGAATCCCAGTTCGCCCCGATTATGTTTCTAGGTTTGTCAGCACCATACCCGTGCTCGTGGGTTTCACCGAGGTGGTAAACGTCTGAGACCTGCACCACTTCGGACTTTCCTACCACATTAAGCTGACACGCCGTGATATAACTGAAATAATGTTAAAAGCCGCGTTAAACCCAACCCACTCACTCACTCACTCTTCTGAGACGTTCAATAATTTAGTAGCAATATATAGACCTTCTGTTAAGGTCCATCTCTATATCCTTGGACATAATACACGGCTTGTTCTTGTTTTAGAAAGGACAGGGGAGTGTCGACAATGTAACTCAAGATAAAAGTAAGTTCTAACATTGCTAATACTTCAATCATAGTTTATAATCATATATTTATAATCAATATATAATCACAATTTGTTGTGAAACATGACACGGATCTAACGACACGTTTTTCAACGACAGGCTGGCAGAATTTGGAAGCCCAAATCGTCCGCTTAGTCGGTAACATATTTCGTTTAAGTATGTTTATAAACGGCAACTTACATTACTGCAAGAATATCATATGTAATGTTATCACATTTGATACTTGATCAGTGTCGTTCATGGCTGATTGCTAACTTTTGAAAATATGTTCTGGGCAACCTTGTGGCTGGATATCAATCCATCTCTTGCAGCTGATGTGTATTTGCCTCCTGACTCGGTGCAATACAAGAATGGGTTGATTTTAGCGGTAAGCGATATGTACTGTTTAATTTTCTTTGTTTAATTATTTTTTTCTAATGAGATAATATCATGCTGCCTATTCTTGCTAATGTAGTTTTACATGTACCACTTTAGTCCTGGGCGGACCTGAAGGGTGCAACGCCCTTAATACCTCCATTTCAGGGCCAAATTCTCAGCACTGATTCACTATTCAAGTTACCATTTGCCTATCATCTACACTTGTTGGTTCATCGTTATCGAAGTTATCATACGCTGTGCAAATTGTGAATTGTGGACAACAAATAATAGTTTGCAATATGTTGTGGTAGAAAATATATGGAATATTGCTGAGTGCGACGTTAAACAACAAACAAACCAAACCAAGTAGAAAATCTGTCAAATATTCTTCTTCCTAGGATGTTAAGGACGTTTCTTCTCACATAAGCGAAACAAGCCCCGGAGAACGTCTGCATCTGCAAAACACCACAACAAATGATCCTAGGGGTAAGAATGAATAATTATGAGACTATGGTTTGAGGATTTTATTCACTTTCAGGCTGTTGGTTGTAATTTGGCCATGACTGCATTGCTAAACTAGGTTATGTGTCTCCACTTCTGTCTTCACAGTGCCTAATTGTCCTGTTTAAGTAATGTACGTGACTTTCACTTCACCCTGTAGATACTGGAGATGAAGAGAAACTGAAAGAAGATTTGGAAAATATAGAGAAGGTAAAAGTGTTTATTGTTAGCATTGCAATAAAATTAATGCGGTCGTATTGTTGCTGGTACTCAATTACAGTACATAATTCTACACATGTACACGCTTGTACATAGTGATGTTCTGAATAGGCTCTCGGGAATTGGTTCCATCCGTTTTAAATACCTTTCAGCAAAGGCACACAGCTGAAGCATTAAAGTACGGCGGCGGCATGGTATACTCACAAGGTATCATAGACTAAGCACATGGATTTCTTTATCCCAAGCCGCCCCTAATATTACATGAGTGAGTGAGTTTGGTTTTACGCCGCCTTTAGCAATATTCCAGCAATATCACGGCGGGGGACACCAGAAATGGGCTTCACACATTGTACCCATGTCGGGATTCGAACCCGGGTCTTCGGCGTGACGAGCGAACGCTTTAACCACTAGGCTACCCGACCGCCCCTATTGCTACATGAACGTACATATTGCATTATATACTGACCGACAAGAGAAACGCGAATGCCACACATGTTGGTTAATATATGACGAATTACACATATTCAAGGGATTTTAGATTGGTTAGATGCACAAACGAACATACTGGTAGTGTATGTTATGTGAATCGACGCTCGTGAACGTATCACATGTGACGTCATGATCATAGACCCATGACTCGAGATGCACCATTTGTCTCGTGCAGGATTAGCGTGTAAAGTTTGGAAATCACGTCCAGCATATCGTGATAAGAATAAAGACACTGTGGTAACACTTGACTGATTGTTAGTTTTGTCGTTAAGTGGTCTACATTTTGAAACATCTATTGCTAAGTACATACTTCTCTATATGTTTCTCTGGTTCGCGTTTCTTTTGACACCGAGTACGTTTCAAAATAAGACCCCGTGTTGGCCATTCAGTTAATGTGCTCACTCAAAAAAAGGCCTGAGTAGCACTCAGGATTTTCCCCAAACAGAACATTGAAACACATGAATGATTCCAACTGCCTTTAACTGTATTATGATGAGGATATCCGTGTTAGTAAATGGTATGAGACTGATGTAATATTTGTTTCAGGAAAGAGACGCTAAACTACTTCAACTTGTTTCCCTTTACACAGGTATGTATATCTCCAAATGAACCAGTTACTTAATGTCCCGATCCGGGCAAAAATAGTTCTTCAGCAACCCATGCTTGGCGTATTAAGCGACTATGCTTGTCGTAAGAGGCGACTAACGGGATCAGGTGATCAGGCTCGCTGACTTGGTTGATGCATGTCATCGATCCCAATTGCGTGGCTCGATGGCCCAGACTCGATTATTTACAGACCACCATCATATAGCTCGAATATTGCTGAGTGCGGCGTTAAACAACAAACAAACAAACAAACTTTATGGAAATAGTTTTGTCGTTTTTATTCATCTAACGCATTCACATTGTATCATAAATTATCTGTTATTTTTTAAGTGGAATGGCAGAACATCTTGTCCTACCTGGATACAAATTTGTCGATCTCTCCCTTTGCCGAGCACCAAGAGAGTATTTGCACTGTAAGTACTCCTTTAATCAGACACGGGAAAGTGAAATGCAAAAATATATCTAAAGCAAAATATGATAATATTTTACATAAATCATAAGACTAGTTTCAAGATGTGCAATGGTGTTTATTGAATGTTAACTCTTAGATAAAGAAGAAAATAATGGAATACCTATGATGTGTCGAAACAAATACTGTATCTGTAAAACAATTTCCTCGGAAAATGCCCCGCTCATAAATCAGAATGTGTTGTCAATAACATAGAAAATGTTTCACGTGTCCTGACCTCTGTGCCCTGTCCTCTATTAGTATAATCATATTTAATCAATTGATTACTTCAAAAGTTCATATTATATATCTGGCAAAACGTAGTGGGCTTTGTTGAACGATCTTGTTTTCAGGTTGCTGATACTATGAAATCAACATCGCACACAAACCTCCCCTTGCAAAGAGGATTGGGTAAGGATGTGTTGTCATTGAAATCAATTAATTCAATGTGGCAGAATCCGCACACCCGGAACAGCGATATAAACTAACAGTTTTAGTCTACTAGACCTTATAATGATAACATAAAGCAAGACCCGTGAATATCGGGGGTAGAATAGGCCTTCATCAACCCATGCTTGCCGTAAAAGGCGAATGTGCTTGTCGTAAAAGGCGACTAACGGGATCGGGTGGTCAGGCACGCTGACTTGGTTGATGCATGTCATCGAATCCCAATTGCGTGGATCATGCTCATGATAGCAATCACTGGATTGTCTTGTCCAGACTCGATTATTTACAGGCCGCCGTCATATAGCTGGAATAATGTTGAGTGCAGCGTTAAACAACAAACAAGCAAACAAACAAAAAACATCAAGCAAAACCCGATAAAGGGCCAATTTCTACTCGTTCTTATGATACCTTAACTATTGGTCCTTTTGGCAACGACTATCGAACTAGTGTCAATTTCTTACCCTGTGGTATCATCACTATGTGAAAGTGATTCTTCATGGACATATGCTTAAGATATTAGTCGGAAATGTTCGATGGACTGTGTTTCAACAGATATTTCTTATGGTCTAACACAGGTTTTTCTAACTTATATTTGTTAAATTACCTTCTACCGTGACCTGATGGCAATACATATCATGTCATTCAAATGTCCTTTATGGTTTTATTAAAATAGTAATGATGATGAAATAATTTCATAGACATAAACCAATACCTCTTAAGTCACAAACTAGATGTTGTTTTTCTCTCTTTGCAATATTTGAACATACAGGTAGTAGTCACCCAAGATTTCAGAAGCAAAGTCTAGTTCATGATCTGAGGCAATTTCAACAGGGACGATTGACGGAAAGGCGTCTGTTCACAATGTTTGGACATGTAAGTTGCAGACAAATATACTGAACCGCAAAAGAAACGTCAACCCAAGAAATATTGCATGAAAAGTTGTCATTTAAATATCTGGGTAAGTTTTGTCAAAGTTTCTAAAATTTAACATTACCTTGTCCGGAAAAATTAAATTTGATGATGATGACAAAGCAGATGGCAATAAAACCGATCGCCCATACGCATCACGGCAACGGCCATGGTAACCCGATGCACGTGAGTTCCGTGCAAATTGAAATGCACACGCGTTCCCGCTTTTCTTGCCCTATAAAAATCCACCCAGATCGGATAACATTCATTCGTTACTGAATTGCTACCACATGCCAAGATTGACAAGAAATCAGCGACACCAAGCCCTTGGACAAACCGCCCGGCAAGTAGCCAATGCATTTCAAGTCCACGTAAGGACCATATACAGGCTCAAGCAACGGTACCAGACCACCAACACTACAGGTGACCGACCACGTAGTGGAAGATCAAGGGTCGCCACCAGACGTCAGGATCGTCAGATTGTGCGACAGCATCTTCAAGATCGCTTTGTTACTGCTGCGGAAACTGCTCGACAGACCATGGGGACACACCAGCGACACATGAGTGCGGACACAGTGCGTCGACGATTGACGAGCAGACACCTCCACTGTCACAGGCCACACCGAGGACCCATTCTTACACCACGTCATCGCCGGGACCGTCTTCAGTGGGCAACGTAGCACCAGCATTGGCGCGACCAGCAGTTGAGAAGAGTCCTCTTCTCAGACGAGAGCCGATACTGTATCTCAACAGCAGATGGCAGAGAGAGAGAGAGAGTCTTGCGACGCCATGGGGAACGTTATTCGGTTGCTTGTGTTGTTGAGAGAGACTCATAGGGTGGTCCGAGCATCATGATGTGGGGTGGAATTGGTTTTGCACAGATGGTCGGCCCTGTGGTCTTCCAGAACATCGGTCAAGGGAGAGGCAATGGTGTCACAGCAGCTCGGTACATCGATCAAGTCTTGAGACCACACGCCATACCTCATTTGGCACGTCGTCGCAACCACGACTTTCAGCATGATAACGCCTGTGCCCACACTGCGAGAGCAACAAGAGACTTCCTCCAGCAGAATGGCAACAGAACTATGCAGTCCCCTGCCCTCAGTCCGATTTAAATCCCATTGAGCACCTGTGGGACGAGATTCAAAGACGGCTGAATGATGTCCGACCAAGGCCGACAACTGCAGCTGAACTGTGTCAGGCGTTCCTAAGAGTGTGGGCTCAAGTGCCTATGGCCTACATTAACCGCCTCATCCATTGCATGTATCGACGTTGCACGGCAGTCATCAATGCGCATGGCGGACACACGAGATACTGACTTGTGATGCAATTTTCTCAGAGACTAGTGTTGTGTTTCACTTTAAGAACACTTGACACCTTAATTACAACCTTGATGATCAGTTTTGCCAAGTTTCATCTTTTTATAAAGTCTTAAAGTATGTTTACAGTGTTCGGACAAATAAGGTTTCTTATATATCTATCCATGGTGACGTTTCTTTTGCGCTTCAGTATATTTATAAATGACATTAGTTGCAAAATGTTAATCTGATTACACGAATGATTTAAGAACAAGCAAACGAGTTTATAATAACCAACATCTTCAATTGATATTTAGGTACTGGTACAGCATTTTCTTCCTTTTCTTCAGATGATCTCAGGGGTCAAGAAGAATATGATATCTCTGCAGACTAAAGGTAACTACCCCGACAAAAACATGTTAAATCATGTCATGCAGATCTTTTTGTCTTGGATATTCAGTTGCGGTCGGGTAGCCTAGTGGTTAAAGCGTTCGCTCGTCACACCAGAGACCCGGGTTCGATCCCGACATGGGAACAATCTGTGAAGCCCTCCGCCGTGATATTGCTGGTTTATATCTAAAAGCGGCGTAAAACCATACTCACTCACTCATTCACCTGGATATTCAATGTCTTTCATGTTATCAGTCACTGGATTGTCTGGTCCAGACTCGATTACTTACAGACCGCCGTCATATAGCTGGAATATTGCTGAGTGCGGCGTTAAACAACAAACAAACAAACAAATTTAGTAAGACAACTTTAAATATGTTGCCCTTGAAAGATGAAGTACCGGACACGTTGCAGCAAAATGCAGCAAATATGTACATTGGTTATTGGATCTGTTTTTCGCTCTAAGATTTGATCCAAGAAAGCACACGCTTCCTTTATGAGATGTATATATGTGTATTTCAGTCTGTGGTTCTCCTGTCCATATTGTGGGGGGAGTGGTCTCACCAGGGTCGTATCTTGTGTCTTGTAAGTATGTCCTTAATGCACACACTCCTCACAATCGTACAGCAATGAAGTAAATAAATACCAAACTAGCAGAAATACTCACTGCCACCTCAACAAAGTCCTAGTCAAGAATCATAGAGATAACTATTGCGTCACTATCAAGATAAACTCTTAGATCGCTGCTGTACTGAGCACCTGATGTTAACATAGTTTCATGGTGTTTGACCTTGTAACTCATTTGTTATGTTAATTTTAATACGTTTGTTTAACATTCAAAATGTTATCCGTGTACTTATTCCTTGTTGAAACAATAACTCTGTCTCATGAAACTTATATATTATTAAGACAGGATATAACAGCAATATTGAAACTACTAATGTTCAAACATGCAAAATATTATAGAAAAAATGTAATATTAATTTCGTATCTCATGTAGCATAGTCACTGATATATAACATGAGGTGACAGCAATAATATACATGTAAAGTGTATGTATAAAAAATGTCTTCGGTTATTGAAATCATGTATCTTGCATGGTGAGGTGAAATTGGATTTAACGTCGCGTCCAAGATTATCGCACTTATATAGCGACGTGCATGTACGTGTGTGTGTTTGTGTGGCTGCTTGTTATAGTCCGGACTGATTCCGATTTATAGTGCTCGCTCACTGAGATACCATGCCCCAGTTTAATATGAATACCCTACTCAGACACAGTATACTGACTCCGAGCCGACCAGTCCTTGTTTTAGACCCTTAATGCCGAGCGCCAGACAGGGCAACATCTTTTAACGTCTTTTGGTATGACGCGGCCGGGGATCGAATCCCGGACCTTCCGCTCTCCTCCGTCTCTACCACTTGCCAACGGGGGCGGTCCGTATCTTGCATGGAATCAACTGATTACTACACTATATTCTTATGGGAGAAAGGGACAATTTTAGATTCGTCGAAACTCTATATAACAACCAAACGTTCTGCTTGATGGCGATTGGTATGAACCTAGAAACATCAGCAGTCTGACACGTTGTGTCTGTTTACATGTGACATTCACCGTCTCCTCTTTGGTGATGATTAGAGTAAGTGAAACGAGTGACATGTTCTTGTATGGCTTGGTTTATAACAAATTCTGCATGTCCATATTTTATCATATCCATATATCAAATTTGTAATAACTCGTTTAACGTCAGTACCAAAGGATTCCTTCCCATCGAAATGTCTACCTGCTGTGATCTAAATATATGAAATAGCCGCTGAACCTTTCGCGATCTAGTTGACAACAAAGATTTCAATAACGACACTGAAAATATTCATTCCATAATTTCAGGTAATACACTACAACTTGATACTGATCGCGCCAACATTTCGATGTGCCATGTTACAAAAGACGGTGAGTTAGTAAATTCACCACCCGCCACACGGAATCAACGTCAGTCGAGCTTTCAGTCCTACAGTGGCACGTGTAGCTCCACCCCCATCCCCCTTCTTTCATCCAATCTCACACCAGTCCACCCAACGTCCCAATACTGGGAGACCAAGTCAAGGGTCGGCGTGATGAGTGACGCTGGACAACCGATACTGGAGTTGGGTGTAGTAGAGGCAGGGCAGTTGGACAGGGCAGGCTGGGTGTGTTATCAGCGTCGCTCCTGGTGTATCGGTGTATGGAGTTGCCACAAACACAGGGGGGTCTGTACCTCCGTGGATCAGGAAGCAGAACCAGGCAAGTGTTGGACAAACACCATGTCTAACACTCCCGGAACACAGGCCTCCCTCCATCATGGCGCTGTGCTGGATGTGGGGAGGGGGAGGCTAGCCTTCATCGATCTGGATAGGGAGGTTGTTTTAGCGAGGATGAATGTGGAGTTCAGAGAACCACTCTACCTGACGTTTGCTGTTGGTCCGTGGCCAGATCGTTACACTGTTAAGACGACCCTGATCAGCGGGGAGGACATCGTCATGACTGACACAAAGAAATCTCTCATTGCCAATGCGCTGACGTAGGAAATAAACAGATAGGAACTCTGTGATGAAATCAGTGAATTGAGAGATATGTATCAATAACATGCGATACACTTGGATGAAGTGGTTGTGAAAATGTCTTGCTTTTTCGCCGTATGAAGCACCGCATTGTGTCCATTCAGCTGCCAGGATCCTAAACTCATTCGTTCGAATCCTAGATACGCCCTCATTATGATCCTGTGATTGTCAGCATCATACCCATGCCAGCACTATACCCATGCTTGTATATTTCCAAACATTGGTAAATGTATTACGCCTTATCACTTTGGTATTTCCTTAATTAACTGCGACACTTCTCAAAGATGCACTTAACCCACAAGATGATACCAACACAAGTGTGAGAAACAGGTCTGCATTCATTGACTAAATCGGACATTATTATTACAGGCACGTGGGCTATTCCTGGCGTACATAACCTAGCTAGCTAAATGTGTTTCTGAGCTGCATCAGAGCATTCAACAGCGTATTGTGGACGCATGTAAGCCTCGCGACAGTAGGTATGTTCGGCGCGAATACATGTCTAATGTAGCGTTCAGCAATAATCATTCACTCACACGCTCACAGACGTTTATGTTGAGTTATTGTTGCAGGTACCGAGATGGGACATTTAAGAGTCTGTCATGTTATTTCCCCTGAATTATATGTTTTAATGGACACAAGCATAGTTTTATGATCAGATTACAACTAAAGCGGCTCACGGAGGTGGCCCAGTCGCCAAAAGCGCCGCGATTCGCTGTGCAGAGTTGCGTCCCTGGGGCACGCCAGAAACCAATGATTGTGAGTTCGAATCCCTGTTCGCCCCGATTATGTTTCTAGGTTTGTCAGCACTATACCCGTGCTCGTGGGTTTCACCAAAGTGGTAAACGTCTGAGACCCGGATCACTTCGGGCTTTCCTCCCACATTAAGCTGACACGCCGTGTTATAACCGGAGCACTGTTAAAAGCGGAGTTAAACCCAACTCACTCAACTGTGGATATTTGTAGTTCATGGGAAGAAAACTAAATCTGACAAAATATTTCCTCAAATATCAGTTTTCATCATAGGACGCAGTTTAAGTACACCAACTTGTTTTCACATAAATGGTTGTAGCAGAAGCCATCACGCAATTATTAATAGACCAATCAAACATAGTTGCCAGTGCACAGAAGGTGGCTTTTAAACAGATAACCTGTAATTCAGAAAGTAATTCATGCAGTAGATGCATTGTAATGAATATCAAAACATGTTCACAAATTACACGTCAAAACACACTGTACATAATGACTAAATTGTTTTTTATTGTATTTAAAAGTTCGTCTTGCGTGAATATTCTGTATGATGTGATACCTCTTTGCCACCATCAGGTGTAGCAGCTGAAATAGATGACTCAGATGGCAGAACCACAGTGATACTAGTGAGCTGGCAATATATGTTACTTGCGCCCAAACCTAACTCAGCTTCTATATAATTCTGTCGTTTTTGTCATGAAGAATGTTTGGAGTCCGCCATTGAGGGTTTATTCATATTGTATGGTTCACTGGTGGGACACTATCAAGTGGCTACAGTCTGTAACAGAAAACTTTTTAACCGCCATTTTGTCTGTACAATCAAACCTTAGTTTAAAATCAACCGTCGCCACTGAAAGTGTGAAGAGTTTTTATTCTTGCTATTATATCAGATTTACACTTCAGTAGAATGGTTAAAACTTGTTTTATATGCTGACTGCGGCAGAGTGTCAATATTCATGCCAGCAGCACATTCACAGCTGTGTGTGTACAATTAAAACAGGCATGGACGCCGCGGTGAACATTATGTTTTATCATGGCGTTCACCTTAGTGTTCGTTCAAATGCAGGTCGTAGGCCACGTATCATAATCGGGACAATTCGAATCTTTGATTTGAAACCTTCGGAATGCTGCATCTTGAATACGAATTGCAGTGCCTTTGGCAGCACTCGTCACACAGGGCTTTCTTCCGTTACTGCAAACCAGGGTCGTTATATACTATTTCCTGCCCACCATTAAAAAAATACATTAAAATATAGTTTTCAGAAACATGCATGTAAATCACATCAAAGTCCCATGAGTAAGGACTTCGTCACACATTTACAATGCATGTCAGACAAAATCAATTCAAACAGATTAAATAATTTTAAATCGAAAATGGTAAAATGCTTTTGCTGTGAAAAGCAACTTTGTTGACGGCCAAACCTTATAAACGTTATGTCACGCCTGTCTGAAACCGAAATTGCACAAAACGTTGTTCTTGTGTGTTTAGGTGTTCATCGTAATGCCACACAGCCACTCTGGGGCTGGTTCTAACAACAACCGGTAGTTCACTTAGGGGGCCACCAGTCAGCGCTTGCATGAGCAATACAGCTGATTAATAAATATATCTATATAACAAACGACACGGCAAGATGACAAGTCCACAAGCACTATGAATTTACCTTCAATTATGATGAGTATTCCTGAATACGATGAATTAGGATAATTTATTGATAACAGATAAACGTTTTGCGTTCAGTAGTTTTGTAAACTTAAAGATATTTGGCCTATCGTAATTACATTTATTAATTAAGATAGCGTTTATTAGATATCGATTTTACAACGGCACAGGTAGTGGAATTCGTCACCAAGTACATTTGTATCACAAAGTGTGCATAGGCCGTCTTCGGTTGGGAATATCTCATGGCAGTAAGAAGTAATTTTCAATTGATGGGTAGTCTTTACAATAGTAATTCCCTTTTGAAGAGATAACGACATCACTTCTTCACGACTGGATAAACTGAATATTCTTAAGTTGAAATAATATGTACACTTTGTTATCATCCTCAGGGGAATCAAACATGTAGATACGACCACAATTATCAAAGACCGTTTTACACGATTAAGCCATAGAAAAGGGATATCGTTAATATTTTGACATTATATCTTACATTTTAACATAAAAGACGCGATATTAGTTTTATGTTGTGAATGCTGACTCAGCTTATTCCAATAACTTACCATTCTTCTGGCAATTTTAATACTGAGCGGTTCTCGTCCGAACTTGCCATATATCACGAAGTTTGGCGTGGACAGTCTTATATCTGCATGTAGATATAAGAATTTTAGAAGGACCCTTTCGATTATTTCAGTGTTTTGAAGGCCCAAGAGTTCAGAACCATAAAAGTGGGAGCCAGTTTTGGATGATAAACCTTAATAATTACATCTAGTTATATCTATCAATAACGTCTATCGGGAACTAAATTAAACTATCCGAAATTAAATTTGTCTTAAACTATCTATTTTCCTATATTAACAGTCGCAATGTGACTGAAATAATGCCGATGCGACGTTAATCTTAACTCACTCACTCCAATATTAGCATCTAGTTTCCAGTCATTACATTATTTATGAAATGTATTAAATGTATTGTGTCTGGTTTCTCCTCAAAGTAATGTATCATCAATGATGTTTACAGAGGACATATGTTGGCACTGTCATGAAGATTTCATGTTTCATCGACATACACAGGAACTTTTTCTGCTGGTATATATTAGCACATACGAACTTCGCACTTGACACAATATGAAAAATATAAAGAAACATGTAAGTATATATGACAGAGCCTTTTCTGCATAAACGCAAATCTCAGATACACACAATTGCTGAACACAAAAGACTAGACTATTCACAGACATGCAAAAATATGAGACATATTTGTTACTTTTGTTAGATTTCCAACATCTATGTTAATATTTGATTCATGTTAATCTGCATCTGGTTTTCGATATACAAGAAGACGACGAAGTATTATAAAAGTGTCCTATACTACAAAAAAAACATAGAAATCATATGGTTAAACAAAGAGGTATTTAATTATCAGAAATAAATGGCCTAAAAGACATAAATATACATTAACATATCTGAAAACATTTTTTTGGATAAAACTACATCTTCTCGTATACATATTATTAACCCTACGTAACACATTAGTACAAACATTGCGCTGTTATTCATAATGAAAACATATTTTTGTAATGGTTTTGAAACCAACATATTCTGTAAAAAAAGGATAAAAAATATGTCCTTGATCATGATAAAAAGAACGGCTTATGATAAATGTTCCTCATCTTCAACAGATGGGAAAAGAAAGGGCATGCTCCATGTACAAGCGGGGTTTTGAGAGTTGTACACACAGCTACTAGATAGCTGTCACATTTCGTCCTTTTTAACATGGCAATTATATACTCTGTTTAAATTACTGTCAGCATCATATATTGGCTTAACTTGTTGCCAAAGTTGCTATTGTTTGTTATCGATCTTGTAGCATGGACTTCGTGCCAACGTGGCTGGTATCAGCGTTCATTGGGTGTGTTTTAGCGAGCTGGTCGTCGGGTGTTAACCACCTCAGTATCGATAGCGAAAATGACGGTGACAGGGATGAAGAATTGACTTTGAAGAAACGTTTACTGATGCTGAAAATTACACAATAATGATATTAAAAAAAAGCCATGCAAGCACCAAGACATTACTTGGAGTGAAACGAGCATTCATTTCTATATACATCCAATAAAATCTGTGATGGTATTTTCGCTCAATGACCCGAGATTGAAACTTAAAAAATTAAAAGTCCAATTTGTTTGGCTCATGATGTTCAGAACAAAAAGTACCGCAAATCAAGAGGTAATCACAGTGTTGCTTTCCGAGACTTTTAGAAGTGATGTGGAGAAGAAGCCTGCTTTCGTCATATCATCATAAACGGAACCACTGATGGTGATGTGGCAGTAGGGTACATTTCATAACTCTCCTTGACGCCGCTCCCGCGGCCATAAACAGCTTCTGCCTTAAGTGTCAGGTGGACAGACGTCCATCGGGTAACCATTGTCGCTTCAAGATTGGACTCTTTGGAAAGGGATGTTGTACTGATCGAAGCGATGCCCAGTCTATACGTTGTTTTCCAGTCTGTAACGTCGCACAAAGGTCGCCCTGATCGAGAAAGGTCCTTCACAGATATTGGTTTGACCATGTTTCTCATCAGTGGGCTCATTCTGTGTAATGGCAGTCCAGCTGACGCCCTGTGTAGTGAGTGAGTGAATATGGTTTTACGCCGCTTTTAGCAATATTCCAGCAATATCACGGCGGGGGACACCAGAAATGGGCTTCATACATTGTGCCCATGTCGGGAATCGAACCCGGGTCTTCAGCGTGACGAGCGAACGCTTTAACCACCAGGCTACCCGACCGCCCCCGCCCTGTGTAATATATTCAGATTATTTGCCATATTTGCTCCTCTGTTCACAGGCAATGATTAAACATTGCAAGACAGCGCATACCCAAATCTGAGGTCTGAACATTATGAAGAATGCACGAGTGGCATGATGCAGGTGCATTCCGCGGTGTGTTGTGACGTCACCGTCGAACATGAAAGGTAATATCCTTACGATTGGACACCGTTCTTGTCATGTTATATGACGTTATATTTCATTTCCCAGGGGTGCTTAACTTTCATCCAGGTGTATACTGCTACTGTTACTACTGCTGCTGCTACAACTACCACTACTATTTCTACTACTACTTCTACTATAGTATACTACTACTACTACTACTACTACTACTACTACTACTACTACAGTATGCTACCACTACTACTACTACTATTACTACTATAGTATACTACTAGTTACGTTTATGTTTCTAGGTTTCTCAGCACCATACCCGTGCTCGTGGGTTTCACCGAAGTGGTATACGCCGTGATATAACTGGAATAATGTTAACAAAGGCGTTAAACCCAACTTACTCACTCACTTAGACATATTCTCAAGGCAAAACATATTGTGACTAAACAAAA